GGCGGTGGTGCGAAACCGGGGTTCGTGCCGTTCAAGAAGGATGGAGGTGCGCGGGGCGGTGCGAGGGGTCGCGGCCGGGGCCGAGGCGGGCGCGGTGGGGTTGGTGGGAGAGGAGGGAAGAAAAAGTCGGATCCGCTGAAAAAGTTTTCGAGGTCGTGAATGCAGCGGTGGGACTGTATGCATGTAGCTGTACATAAATATGATACAGTGATAGGTACGGAGAGACTGATTATAAAGTCGGGAAATGGAGAGCAGAGAGCAACAAGGACTACTTGGTGGGTATACCAGGACAACACGATACTTGAGTACGGAGACATAAACCAAACGGTCTTGGGACAGAGATCGACAATTGGAGGAAACGGTGGTGATAATACACTACAGAGTAAAGAAAAAACAGGGCATCACGCGGTTAGCTTGGGAATGACCTTGACCATCTGGTCAATGTTTATGAACTGGACCCAGCTCTCGAGGTCCTTTGCGCTCTCGTGCCACACAAAGGTGCTCTCCTTTGCGCCACGGAAGAACGCACAGACGCACTGGTAGTTCTCCTCGATGAGCACTTCCTTGCGCGCGACGCCGAGGCTGGCGCGGAAGATGCGGAACTCCCACCCCTGGAGCGGGTGCCCGTCGCCGCGCGCGGACTCGCGGGGGATGTCAAACTCGAGGCGGGCCCAGTCAAAACCGGCGGGCTGGCCGATGGCTTTGATGTACGCGGCCTTGAGGGCAAGGAGGGTGCAGAGGCGGCGGAGAACGACCTCGTCGCCGAGGTCAGGCGTGATGAGCGCCATCTCGGTCGGGGTGAGCTTGTGCGCCATGGACTCGGTGTAGGCTTTTACGGTGACGCCACGAGGCTCGACGGCAACTTGCTTGATGCCGAGGCCGATGTTGATTACTTTGCGCTGGATGCCCTGGGTCATGGCCATGCCGCAGAGGGAGGTCTCGTAGGCGAGGTGGTATCCGATCATGGAGTGCAGAAACTTTTCGGGGGGCATGTCGTCGGGCGTCTATGCGCGGGTCAGTTGGTCGTGAGGTGAAATTGAGGGAATTAGCGCGGACGGACCTGCTCGATCCAGTGTTTACCGCTGGGGGTGACGCAGTCGCGCCACTTTGCGCGCGGTATTCGACGGTGGCGCATCATGAGTAGCGGGAGCATATGGGTCATGATCTGGCCTGTGGGTGGGGTCAGTTTCGGGAACAGCAAGACGGAGTGGGCAGACGGACGAAAGCTGTCGGCGTTGGGAGGGTCATAAGGGATCTTTACGTGCTGGACGCAGTCAGCGACAACCTTGTGGCACGCATCATACTCCTTGATGGGCTGGGTGAGGGCGAGCAATAATTTGTGGCCCGACGGACGTACCTCTTGGGTGTACTCACGATTGAGGGAGAGCATCCAGACGAGTATCGGGCAATCCGTAGACATTGCTGGCAGAGAGTGAGCCACAAACGCCGAGATGGCCACAAACAGACTGCGCCGGACCTAGGACAAAGCAGAATTCTGTTACTGCTGGAGGTTCCTTTTATATGGTGAATGGGTGTTGCGCAAGAGCCGAGCAAGGTCATTATATGCGTCTAGAGGACATGAAGGCAAAAGGGCAAAAGTAGAAGTGTACCATCACAGCTGACAAAGCTGGTTCAATGAGGAAAATGCTGGAAAATGCGAGACTTGTTCATGGTGTCTGCGGATGGCGTAAACGCAGTAATGTGTGAGTAGTTTGCGGTGAATGAGGTTGATATATAAACTTTGGATGTAACTGAGAGCAGAGTCCTTTGGATTCTTACGTCATTCACGTGAACTCTTTTGACGACAACGACGACCACGAAATCCCGTCCATGGCCTCGTCTGCTCCGTCTGGCTCTGGCGCATCCGCCGCCCCCTCTGGCTCAGGCTCTGGCTCTGCTCCCCCTCCCTCCGGCCCCTCCTCCCCAGCGGCGTCCCCCTCCAACGCCATCTCCATCGCCCAAACACTTCCTGCTGGCGGCGTCACCATCACCCAGCCCGCCCAGACAGCCACCTCCTTCTTCAAAATCGCAGAGAACCAGCTCATCACGATAGCCTGGAACTTTACCAGCGTCCTCGCACAACCCACAAGCCTCACCCTCAGTGCCGTCGGCGCAAACGGCAACACCTACGCCGTCGGTCCCGATGCTGCCGGCCACTTGCCTGGGACGGCAACGAGCGTCGTGTGGGATGTCTATTCGTATCAGCAGGTGCGGCCGTCTGGTCATTATTTTTGACGCGTGAATGCCGACAACCCACGCAGGCGCACCCCAACACGCCCCTCGCGCCAGGGAGCTACACACTGCACATGTGGGATGACCGCGGCCCAACCGCAACCGAGCGCGCGGGGTACATGAGCCCAAACACCGCCCTCGCATTTGCCCTCTATACCCCACAAGGATACACCCCGCTTGCCAGTGGTGCGTTTACTGCTTTGTTCCGTGCTTCGACCGCAGACTGACGGGGACGCGCAGGATGGACGTGCACAGGCTGCAACGACGCCCTCACCGCCCGCCCCGCACTCGCCGGCATCTTGCTCACTCTGTTCCTCATGCTCTTCTCCGGCTGGCGCGTGCTGAGAACGCGGGCGTAGAACATTATTTTTCTCCACTCTTGTTTTCGCACACTCACGACGCTCGCACGCGCAATGGACTACATACGTAGCTGATATCGTATATACATGGGGTTGGGTCGTTAATGGACTGGGGTTTCGACTTGGACAATTCACTCGAGAACGTCGTCGTCAAAAATAGCAGTGAGCGGAATACCGTCTTTCCTAATGACTCCGCGATACATGCCCGGGCAGTTCAACGGCATCGCAACGTTCCCCATGTTGTCCAGAGCAATCACACCGCCGATCCCGCCCTGTTGGCGAAGCTCTTCGACCGCATACTCGGCCGCCTTCTCCAGCGACTCGCCGAGATGCTTGACGCGATGCGCGATCGTCACCGCGGTTGCGCATCTAATAAAGTACTGCAGACCTCAGTCAGCAAGTCGGACGCGTTGAATGAAGACAGCTCAGCGTACGTCGCCGTCCCCAGTCCCCGACACGCCCAGCGCATGGCGCGCCGGGAGCCCCCAGATCTTGCCCCACGCCTTTTGCACCCACCCCGCTGCGGCCGGCCACTCCTCCGCCCAGAAGCCCGCACCCATGTGCGGCGTGTCCCCCACGCGCCCCACGAGCTTGTTCGTCCGCCCGCCCGTCGAAGTCAGCGCGGCGATGCACCCGCGCACGTCGAGCGCCACCGCACCGACGGTGCCCGTCGGCGCCAGGTCCAGCAGCGGCAAGTCGTGTTCGCGTCCCTTTTCGGACTCATCCGGGTCGGGGTAGGGGAAGGGCTCATCGGGCAGGCCCAGTCCGCGCCGGTGCTCAAGCCAGCGCTTCTTGGTGTAAAAGTACGAGGGCGGGACGAGCGGTTCGTTGAGGGACGCGGCGAGGAATTCGGCGGCGGGGCCGGAGAGGAAGGGGTGCGGCGCGAGGTGGGGCGCGAGGTAAAGCGCGCGCGCGAGGGCGCTGGGGTTGCGGACGTGGGCGAGGAGGGTGAGGCCGATGCCGCGTCGGGAGGCGGGGATGGCGGGGTGCGAGGCCGGGGGCTTGGAGAGCATTAGTGAGGTCTCCAGTTCGTTCTGGATGCTCATTCAGCGGGTGTTCGTGCGTCTGGCAAGGGATGCACCTTGCCGGCAGTGTTGAATACAGCGCCCTTACCGGCATTGAAGAGCGGGCAGTCCTCCATTGAAGATACCGCTGCAGTGACCGCGTCCATCGCCTCGCCTTCGCAGGGATGGGTTAGACGACGAACACAGTGCCGAGCCAAGTCGTAGTCGTACCGCCCTCCCTGAGAATTTTGTAACCCGCCTCGAGCGCTGCGCGTAGCTCAGCACGGTACTCGGCGCGTTGCTCGGGCGTAGAGCCGGCGCGCGACATGGTACCGGCACCGCCGTGGCAAACGAGCACGTAGTTGCCGGTCTCGGGCGCGCCAGAGGGGACCTTTCCCTTGTCACTCATGGTGGTAAGTACGAAGTAGCTTATCGCGGCGAAGATATTGTTCGCCGCGGCGAGGCGACAACTTCATGCCCACGTAGGCCCACGTCCACGTCCACGTCCACCGCCCTCCCTTCTTCAAATGATTCTCCCACCGCTTCGCCCGCGCCTTGGCCGACTTCGACAGGCACAAGAATTAGGAGGGCATTGGGCACTAGTACTCACAATATAGTACTACGCTCGCAGGGGCGAGGTCGGAAAGCTCCACGCAGCTCAGTATGATCCGCACGAACGGTGTCTGCCGCATTTCCAGGCTTCGTGTGTTGCAGCCAAAGGTTAGGATTCCTCCGGGTCACGGTATATATAGCACAAAGATGTACTGGACCTTGTCCTGCAGCGCCGCTGCAATCGCCTCCGACCGAACGGCGGCTGTATCATGCCCCTGCTCTCGAGACCAAGCCCCTCCAAGGTCCCAATTTCGTTGTACTGATGAGAGGGATCTTTCAATTGGTGTGCTTTGCCTTTGCCTTTCACATCTGCCATCGTGGATTCGGAATGAGTGGGTTTTGTGTTTGGACTTTGAATCTTGATAGACTTCGATTTGATGATGTCGGAGCACGGTCTTCTCTTTTGACCACCACAACGAGCTGAGACACTGACAAGATGGAGGAAACAAGGCTGAGTAGAAGTCAAAGTAAGGGTCTAAGTCCGACTCTAAGATGAACTGGGAACTGACCACAGAGCTCATATGCTCGAACAGATATTGATTCAAATGGAGTCTGGATTATTGTCCTTATGCCGTGAGTCGTTGGATCAATATTCAACCTGATTTACCTGGGCGGCTCAGTTGGAAGAATGTCCACAAGGTATGAGATGAGTCTGAAGCATGGATCAATCGGAATGTGGTCAACAAGGAATGAAAACTCAAGCAAATTGAAGGGACTTAAAAGAAGTGCACCAAATACAGGTTCTGCTGGTGTTGCGGGCAGGCCTAGTGCTAGACCTATACGTAGCTTCCATGACACTTTGGCCGAGTGGTTAAGGCGATGCCCTGCTAATCCAGCTATCAGGCATTGGGGTTTCCCCGCGTGTGTTCGAATCGCACAGGTGTCGGTTTTTTTGTTTGTTTTCCTTCCAGCTCTTGCGCATCCCACAGCCAGACCTTCGAATGTCCCGCGCGTAAAGCACACAATTCAAGTCTGTTTTGATCCGCAAAATGCATCCCGGCTATTTGATTTCAGCCCCGGTGTATTTCACTGCAACTGAGTCAGTTGCATCTGAGAGACAAATTGGGGTCATTAACCCTTGACGTCAACCTCAAGGCTGCTCTACAACCCTCCACCGTCGTCACCAGTGCGGTCAGTGTTGTACCACGCTCCACCTCTGTGTCTGCCTCGACCAGCGCTGCACCCACTGTGAACCTTCATGAAGCTCTCGCTGCTGTCCACCAGGAAGAGCTCGACGATGAGCTTGTAATACAACAGCTAGACGAAGAGCTCAGCGCGCGGGATCTGAAGCAGGGCCCGACGAAGGACGAGCTCGTGCGCTGGCGAGAGGCCCTGGCTCATGACAATGCCCCAGACCAACAATGTAGTATTCACACTGCTCTGATGAACCAATGCTCAGTCCTCTCACCGGAGGCTGAGCTTGCAAAGTGGGATGAGACAAGTGTGGAGAATATGTCGCTGGAGTAGGTGCATGAATTTCTGGGTGACTTTGAGAAGGTAGTTGGGCCAGAGAAGGAGTGCGAGGAGGAGGAGGATGTTTTGATGATCGATTCATTGGTCATGCACTTTCTTCTCATGAAACAGTTTACCACCCTCTAGAGCGGGCTGAGCTCAAGGTATTTATTTCTCGCAAAATTTGTATTCATAGGGCTCACTCGTCTCAACTATACAGGCTACCCAAGCTGACGTTGACCAGGGCCTCGCGTGCAAGGTGGGCCTCCGGAATGTACGGGTCGTAGTTTTGCAGGGTCAGCCAAGTTACGCATTCATGGGTGAGTGACAACTTTGGGCTTTATGAGGCCTGCTATATCCATGCACGGATACCTCGGATGAAGTCCGAGGGTAGCCGAATATGGCTCCGCTCTGCCTCCGCCTGCCGACAACAACTACAAATAGCTCCGCTCTGCCTCGGGCCCTTCCGCATCTGCGGAGCTCTGCACATCCATGCACAGATACTTTGGACCTTGCTTCGAGTCACTCCAACGACCTCCGCTCGACTACCTCCGCTCCGCCTACCTCTTCTACCTCCGCTCCGCCGCGTGACCGTGACGGTGTGAGCGGAGGGCGGAGGAACCTGCATCGAGGTCCGACATCAAGCATAACCTTATCTGCAAACCCTTGTGCCCAAAACCCTGGTACCTTGTTCCCACCACTGCTCCGCTCCACCTCCGCTCCGCCATTTAGCGGAGGACAGCGGAAGTCTTATCGCCAGGTCTGAAACGCCAAGTGGATCAAACTCTATACCCTAACCCTGGCCCCTGACCTTTCCATATGGTTGGTTGACTTATCCTTGACAACCATCGGATAAGTCGCATGTTAAGTCCACGTGTCGGGATAACCCTGATTCTTTCCGCATGGCCAGGGCTAAGTCTATTGTTAAATCCATATGGTTACTATTTATCCTTTATTACATAATTAGATAAGACTTATCCTATATAAACCCCTTAGCATAACTTGTATTCTTTAGTTTGATAATAAATGTTGCTTACACTCTACCTGTGAAGCAATCCGAGTTCCGACTCTTCCTCGCTCATCCGGACTATAAATAGCCCACTTGCCTTAGTCGCCTTTGGCAAGTGTTGCTCTGATCCTCCGAGCTTCCTCCGAACTTTACCTTGGTCCTCTGGGACAAAGGGTGGTGCACTTCCCATTACCCGTGGTGTTGTTGTACCGGTTCGCTCCCTCCGCTCCGCTCCGACTCCGCTGTCCTCGGACTGCGAATGTCGAGCGGACCAATCGTTGGTCACCCCCTGTGACTATACATTGGTGTTCGGACTCCGCTCCCTCCGCTTTGACTCTGCTGCCTTCGGGCTCTGTCTCCATCTCCATTACCTTCGGGCTATGGACCAAGGACGACTGCTTCCATCTGCCCCCTTGGAGCCAGGCAGACAATCTATGTTGCGCAGGATCACAGTCTCGGGACCAGAGACGGAGACACCTTCGAGAGCGCGAAGGTGGAACAGCTTTGGACTCAGGAGAGTGACATCCTGGTTGTCCGGAGCTGACCCGTGGTCTGGTCTACGAGAGAGGGCATCGGGACGTCCCATGAGCTTTCCGGGCTTGTGATGAAGCATAAAGTCGAACCGGGACAGGTACAGCGACCACCGCGCCTGTCTACGGTTGAGGTTTTGCGACTTCCGGAAATACTCCAGGTTCTTGTGGTCAGTCCAGATCTCGACGGGATGCTGCGCGCCCTCGAGGAAGTGTTGCCACTCCTCAAGGGACCGGACGATAGCGAGCATCTCCTTGTCGTGGATCTCGTAGTTGCGCTGGACCGGCGACAAGCTCTTGGAGAAGAACGCCACAGGGTGCCACTTGCCGTCAGAGCTTTCTTGCGAGAGGACAGCTCCGGAGGCAAAGTCGGAGCTATCCGCCTCAAGCCGGTATATCCGAGACTCGTCAGGGAGGATGAGGACTGGATCAGAGGTGACAGCGTCCTTGAGGGCTTGGAACGCGGCGGCCTCGATCTCAGTCCAGACCCACACCTTGCCCTTCGCAGTGAGGTCAAAGAGCGGACGGGCGATGTCGGAGAAGGCTCGGATGAACCGCCGGTAGAAGTTTGTGAAGCCAACAAACTGCTGCACATCCTTCTTGTTCTCCGGCGTCGGCCAGGCAGCAACACCAGCGACCTTGACGGGGTCCATCTCGACGCGGTTGTGCGAGATGATCACTCCGAGGTATTCGATCGACAACTTCTCGAATTCACACTTCTCCGGGCGCAAGTAGAGCTTGTGCTCCCGGAGACGTCGAAGCACCTCCCGGACAATCTCGCGATGCCGGGTGATGTCCGAATGTGCGATGAGGATGTCCGAATGTGCAATGAGGATGTCGTCGAGGTATACCATGACGTCGCGAGACATGATGAGATCCTGGAAAATATCATTCATCATGGTCTGGAAAGTCGCGGGGGAGTTTGTCAAGCCGAAGTACATCACCAGGGGTTCGAAGAGTCCCCTGTTGGTGCGGAACGCTGCCTTCCACTCGTCGCCCTTTCGGATCCGGACATTGTTGAAGCCCCAACGAATGTCAAGGTTCGTGAAGAACCGTGCGCCTTTCAAACGATTAATGAGGTCGTTGATCAGCGGAAGTGGGTACCGGTTCTTCACGGTCGTCGCGTTCAACGCCCGGTAGTCTTGGACGAAGCGGAGACCACCATCCTTCTTCTTGATGAAGAAGACTGGTGAAGCCATGGGAGACTTTGACGGCCGAATCCGGCCAGTAGCAAGGCCCTCCTCAATGAACGTGTCGAGCTCGCGCTGTTCGAGGGGAGAGATGGGGTAGACCTTACAGTTGGCGGGCTTCGAGTCTGGGACGAGTTCGATGGCGTGGTCCCAAGTCCGGCTCTCCGGCAACGAATCGAACGACTCCCGACTGAAGACATCCTCGAAGTCACGCACCCACTGGGGAAGGGGTTCCTTACCGGGTGCGGAGTTCTTGGCATGGGCTTCCGCTAGGCGTTGAGAAACCGTAGCGGAGGCTCGGATGTCTTCTGGAGGAGAGAAAGCTGTGTAAAATATACGATCTCCATCCTCAATCGTGTCGTCCTCATCGTCCGAGTCATCAGAGTCGTCCGGGGACAACTCTGGTAACTCGTCCTCAAACTCATTGTCGTCATCCTCGCCAGAGCGAAGGTCCGCGTCTACTGCGCAGATGTGGGGCATCGGGCCAGCCCGGAGCTGACGAAGGATCGAAGCGGCAGTTTTGGCATGCTGGCGCTCAACCCTGGCCTCATTGCGACAAGTCGTACAAACCGAGGGGCAGCGGCTCATTCTTACCTCTCGGGTTTCCCGGTTGATCTCCGGGTTGTGCTTCCGAAGCCAGGAGAACCCGAGAATGAGCTTCTGCTTGCCGAGCCGGGTGACAGCGAGCACAGCGCGCTCGCTGTGTGACTTGTAGCGGAGGATGACATCCGCAACCTCCCGGATGCTGCCGGCTTTATTTGGGGAACTGTCAACATTGAAGACCGGGATGGGACAAGAGAGTCGACAGAGCGGGACCTTGTTCTCTGCAGCATACTCCGAGTCGATGAAGTCAGAGGTAGCGCCGGCGCCGCAGTCCACAAGCCCAGACAACGACAGTTTGACGGCGTCATCGGTGGACTTAAGGATAACCAGGGGTAAGGGTATACCTTTGGGGGTATGCTGAAAGGTGCAGGTAAGGTAGAGGTAGAGGTGCAGGGGAATCAACCTTTAGAGAAACCTCTTCCAACCTCCGGAGGTTGAAGGGTATGGGGAGGTATTTGACCGGCAATACTATAACTTCTCTTTAGCTCACTTCGTATTGTGCGACTGTGTGTTTCTTCGAGAACTTAATAGGCTTGGGTTCAGTTCCCGCCTCTGCCCTGTTTTTTGACCCTCTGCCGTTCGGCATCCTACCCAAACCCTTCCAAATTATGACGACAATCGCCTTAACTTCTTCTACCTTAGCCCTCTTGCGTCATTGTCTGTGGCGGCGTCTCCCGTAAATATCGCCGATCTGCTCCGATCATGCTGTTGACAGGAAGTCACCGAAATTGCTGTGCAGCGGAAAACGATTTCCGCTCTCTGCCTCCCACTTCCACGTCGCTCTCTCCCCTCCTTCTTGTCTACATCCCTGCAGTTTGCCTTGAGGCTTGAGTCCTACGCTCCTACTCCCTCTCTGTTGTCCCTCTCTGTCGTCCCTGCCAACTCCTCTCTGTTGACCTGCCTCAGTTCCTATGGCTTTAAATTCAAGTGCTCCTATGCTGGGATTAAGATGAGCAGCCCCCTGTCTAAATGCCTATAAAACAGGCTTGAGTTGTATCGTTCTACCATTCTTCGCTTCTCCCCCATGCTTGGGAAACGCAAGTCCGCAGGCGTCTCACCGCCGGGCAGTAATGCCGGTAGCCAGAAATCCTCCTCCTCCCTT